TATGATGTCTGATAGCTTCCACAGATCTGAGAAGCTTGTGAAGAAAGGTGGCACTGGGCCACATTGAGCACTGGTTTTTGTTTAGTTCCATTTGTTTTTTGTCATGGCTGAGGGTTGAACCCGAGTCTTCACATGCTAGGTACTTGCCAGGCAGGTGTTTATGCCACTGAGCTACATCCCCAGCCCAATATGCTAGGTTGGTGCTTTGCCACTGAATCTTCATGCTTGCCTGTGTTACAGGATCTCTCAAATGTAAAAAGAACCAAGAGGGTTTTTTAGAAGAGGTATTTGTTAACATTTAAGTGTTAAGAAACTTGAGCAAATCATGAATTTCAAGTCTCATTTTTGAATGGACTTTTTAAAAGAAAAGATCTTTTCAGATTTCAGTACAGTTGAGATGAGACATTACACAAAGAAATTTATTACATATATAATGAAACACATACACACATTGACTTTTCTTCTTTTCTTTTCTTGACTGTACTAGGGATCAAATTCCAGGGATATATATGCCAGGCAAGCTCGTTACTGAGCTAAACCCTCAGTCCCTAAAGATATATAATTCATTATGTAATACAATAATTTAAAAATGTATTTAGTGCATCTGACACCAGAGTGATGTCTACATATATTATGTAATGTTTGAACGCGTGTCACTTTAATTTTCTCACACCTTGGAGCTGAAGACCAGAGAAATATAGAAACTCTGCCCAAGTTTGCTGAGCATTTCTTTTTTGTTCTTTTGTTTGTTCTTTTTCCCCATCCCCCTGCTTTCCTTTCAACCCTTTCTCCCAGTTTTTTTGTTTTTCTCGAGACAGGGTCTCTACATATGTAATACAGGCTGGCCTTGAATACACTACGTAGCGCAAGCTGGCCTCAAACTCACGATGATCCTCCTGCCTCAATCTCCCGAGTACTGAGATTACAGGCGTGTGCTACCACGCATTTCTGTTAAACTGGAATCTGAAGGGTCCTCTCTCTTGTTATGTTGTCTCCTTGTGGAGGGTCACTGCAACCGCCCAACCACTCTTGGGCCTCGGGCCTTCCCGTAGTGCACACCCTGCCCCTTCGAACCTGCGGGAGTTGGCCCCTGCGCTGCCTCATCTTGGCCAATCAACGCGGTTGAGGATAACAGAAGGCGGGTGTAGGGCGGGGCTCTAATAAGACTGGCAGAATTTTCAATCACTAGTACAAGGAAATGCTGGGATAGACAGTGAGTCAACCAAATGGGTATGAAGTCCGTGACTGGAGTGAGCCAATGCGGTCGAGAGGCGGGGTTGGAGAATTGTGTGTAGAAGGGGCAGAGGATTGTTACTGCTTTCGCGGTGTTGGACGTAGGGAGCCTCTGTCACACTTCTCGAGGGTAGTGTCGCCCCCGTCATGAGCTACACAGGTGGGTCCATAGGGTGAAGTCGTTTTGGGTGAGGGGCGAGACAGGAACGTTCAGGGGTTATGCCGGGCTCGTTCACACAGCCCCTGGCGCACG